TTCTTTTTCCTTAATTGAAACGTCGTTAGAACCGTCAATTAAAATAGTGAAAAAATTTCGAGTATTTAGTTTATTTTTGAGATCTATCGCTAAACTAAGAGCAATGTAGTCAATAAATACTCCGCATGTGTTTTCGTTTTTATAAGCCTGACCAAAAACTACACCATGTTTCTCTTCTAATTGAATTATTTTTGGGTATAGGCAAAGCGATAGTTCTTCTTTTGCTATAAAGTAAGCGACCTCAAATTTTTTTTTTGTCAAATCCAAGTCTTTACTATTCATGGTTTGAATACCGGATAAAATGTCTGTTTGCCGCATTTCCTGCTGCAACTCGTTTAGTTTTTCAATTCGATCGCACAAATTCATGCCTCTCGTTTTCATAAAAATCTCAAAAGCCTTCTGATGAGACATTCCCTCTGCATGCGTGATTGCAGAACTATGTTGCAATCGACTACATCCTTTTCCACAGCTCCATTCCGGAGTGTAGCCTTTTAAAATCTGAATTTGCGATGCATATTCTCGGCATACTTTGCATTTTAGCGCTGTAACTATTCCGTCAACGCTTTCAATTTCAAGCCAATCATTAGCATTATATTTTGCAAGCGTAGAGACTTTCCATTTATTAGCTGTTTGTAATTGTAGCTTTCTGTCATAAGTTTTTAGTTTTTTCTCAGCGGGTGTTCCAGATACTAAGTTTCTTTTAAAAGAAATAAATGTTTGACGCTTTTTGTATGCTTCCATTTTAAGATTATTTTTAAACTTACCATTTAATTTCTAAAACTTTAAAACAAAAACTGTTTCTTTCAATTTAAATTGTCACGATGATTTCAAAATGAAGTTTTCCAACGAATCACAAACTTGCTTTGTTCATTATTTTTCAGACAATCAAAGAAATGTTAACCTTTCTAGTTATTAATTCATTTTATTCAAATGAATTCGCTTTATTAAAATAACTCTTTTACAGTTAATAAACTTTCGAACTGAAGACTGTTACGAAATCAACGCTATGTTTATTCCACCAATCAAAAACATTATTAAGTTATTTACAATAAACTTCGCGCTTCTTTTTAATTACCATTTTTAATGTGAACTAAAAGATTATTATTGGTCTAAAAACTTGTTTAATTCAGCAATAATAAACATATTTTTTTTAATGCTAATTTAATAAATTTAAGATTCTTTTTTAAATGTTGAAAAATTTTTTATTCTAATGTGTGACATGCAATGTAGACGATCAAATTTGATCGGCCATAATTAATTTTGGGAGTTCAAAATTTCATTTTTTCCAAAAGTCGTCGATCATTGATCGTTGATCGGCCGTTATTTCGAGCACTGTATATATATATATATATATATATATATATATATATATATATATATATATATATATATATATATATATATATAATGTATATATTGTGTGTGCGTGTATATATATATATATATTTATTTATATATGTATGATATATATATACACAAAATATTTATGTATAATATATATATATATATATATATATTTTTTAATTTTTTTTTATTTTACTTTATCTCCTCAAGGCCGAGAAGGCCACTACAGACGAGGAGGCAAGGTCGGCGCAATAGGGGTGTGTGGGGGTGTGTGACACCCCCCCCCCCATTAATGATTTTTAGTCGGCAAACTGGACCCTTAGTCGGCAAATCGGACTCTTTTAGACTAGTTAGTCGGCAAATGTTGACCCTTTCGATATAGGTTAGACAGTCGGCCAATGTCCTAACGGCAGTCGGCAAATTTTGGAAAACGAGGACACACCCAGAAAATGACACACACACACACACCCTCTCCACGTGACACCTACTCGCGCCAGCCCTGCGAAGAGGCTACTTATTTTGTGGCTATAACCGTCTCTCAACTCTATAACTCCGAAACACGAACCTTGATGAATAAGGCCGCTGCGCGTAGAAGTTGAGCGCGGTACTACCAGGGACGTGGTGGGGATCAAACTTGGAACCACTTGTTTATGAAGCAAGCGCTCTACCACTACACCACTACCGCATTTTGTGTTTATACATATTATACATATAAATATATATATATGTATATATACAAAATATATGTATAATGTATATATTGTGTGTGCGTGTATATATATATATATATATATTTATTTATTTATTTATATATGTATAATATATATATACACAAAATACTTATGTATATATGTCAACCTGAAAGTGTTTGTGGTCGGCAAAAAATTGCCGACCTTGTTTTTATGTTTTATGGTCAGACCTTTATATCAAATAATTTTTGCCAACCTGATGTCGACCTCAAAAAGATTGAGGTCGGCAATAATTTGCGACTTCATTTTTTCTAATTCTGAGGATTGTATATATATATATATATATATATATATATATATATATATATATATATATATATATATATATATATATATATATATATATATATATATATATATATATATATATATATATATATATATATATATATATATATATACAGTACTGTGAATATGTTTTAGACCACTTACATTTTCTCAAAAAATCCAAGAGAATTCTTTCTTAATATTTAAGTTTCGAATTCTATATTATAAAATTATTAAAACACGTATATTTCACTTAAAATATGGAACAATAACAAACTTTTTAATGTCACACCATAAAAAAAAACCTTAATATTTACTATGTCCTCCTTTTGCCTCAATCACAGCCGATATTCGCCGGTAAATAGATTCATACAAATTTGTTATAAAATCCTGCGGTATGTTGTGCCATTCTCTTTGAAGTTCTTGAAAACATTCTTCAGCATTTCGGGGAGCATGTTCGACCTTTTTCCTGTCCAAGTAATCCCAAATATGCTCGATTATATTCAAATCTGGACTCTGGGGAGGCCAGGTCATTATTTCCAGTTTAATAGTAGGGTTTAAACACTCGGCCTGATAGGCTTCTCCTATTCTTCTTCAAACATATTGACGTCTTTTAGTTCCAAAAATTTCAAATTTGGACTCATCAGTGTACAGAACCCGATTAAACATTTCCTGGGTCCAATCTTTGTGTTGTTTTGCATATTTAAGTTGTTTTTCTCATGTTCCTCATAAATTTTTGTTTATTTATTCAAGATAATATATTCTTTCAACCTTTCTCAAATATTACTCAACTTAAGTATGCTTAAAAAAAAAATACAAAGGAAAAAAATTGAAAATACAACTAATTATATTAGTGGTCTAAAACATATTCACAGTACTGTATATATATATATATATATATATATATATATATATATATATATATATATATATATATATATATATATATATATATATATATATATATATATATATATATATATATATATATATATTATATTGTGTGTATGTGTGTATATATATATATATATATATATATATATATATATATATATATATATATATATATATATATATATATATATATATATATATATATATATATATTATATTGTGTGTATGTGTGTATATATATATATATATATATATATATATATATATATATATATATATATAATTTTAGTGTATTCTACAAATAGAGTGCTCAATGTTCTTAAAGAACAAAACAACTCAGTGTAGTTAAGGCAAGTCAGTAAAATTTACATAAAAAATTTCTAAAAAATTCCTAACTTTGACTATCTTTTACTTAGATGGTAAATGAAATAAAATAAATGAAACTTTATGTTTGTTTAATAAAACTGTTTGTGTTAGAAAAAAAAATTTTATATATATACAGAAATAATAGTTTTTATAAAGTCATAATTTGAACTTTAATGCGATTTTGCTCAGCCTGTTCGCATCAAAATGTCTTCAATAAAACTATAAAGTATCTAAACTTTAAATATCATTGTCGATCAAAAGAGCTAGAACTATTACACTATGTTTAAACACTATGATTTCTTCAAAACCCTGTTTTTTTCACTAAAATTTTTGGTGTTCTCTACTTATTAAGTAAGAGTACTCAAAAAACTGAATTGTTGGCAGTTGGAGCTCTTTTTCTTCTATCTGCTAGATAAATTTTCTATTATTTAAATCTTTTTGCAATAGTTAAAATAACTCCACCGCCTAGCAAAGACTAAATTTAAAAATAGGATTCAATAACTTGAAATTCTAAGTCTGCAAATTGTTATAATAGTAGCAATTACTCTATATAAAATTATATTTGAAAAGATAATTTTATTTTGATAGACTTTTTTCTTTTAAAGTAAATTTTGAAAGATTTTTTTGTGGTCCACAATAAGACCTCACGCAAACAAAAAATTTTCCCAATAAACTATCTGATTGTTAGTCATGCAACCAGATATTTTGCAGAAAAATCTCTATTTTTTAAACTAATAACTGACTGACCGCAATATCTTGAAAATGATCTTAACTACGCTGAGAATAATAAATTAGTAAAAACATCTAATTTAATTTGCTGGATTTGCAGTGGACCTATATAGGCAGTTTTAAGCTGCTAGTTAGAGTTTTGCTCATCAGTCACTTTGTGGACTATTATTGGCAGCTGCTATAAATAGTAAGCCAATAACTTTCTGACATATTAATAGTGGCTAGTCATTGGCTAGCCATATTTGACAGCTGCCACTAATGATCCACTAATTTACCGATGAGCAAAACTACTGCGGTCCACTCAAAATGCCTGTGTACTTAAATTACCCTTGCCAAATTCCAAAATACCTATATACTTTAAGTCCACTTAAATTCCATTATAGATTGTTTGGTGAAATTAGTAGTAAAACAAACAGAATGTATAATAAACAGACAGAATGTAGTCTTCGCATTTAGTAGTTTATACTTAAATTAATTTTGAGAAAAGTCTCCTTAAACTTTGATCTAAATCAATTGATGATTTGTTCAAGTTGTTTATGTGCTTTATTTAATTCGATTATTGTTATTATTACCTTTAGTTTTTGCAAAGCAGTTGATTAAAAAAAGTAATTATTTATTTCCTTGTTTTAAATTAAATTCTTGTTCTTACAGTAGCAGAACTTTTACATGATCAAGCAGATATCTCTAAAAACATACCACAACTGCAAGAAGATGATCAAACTGTTTTTATAAAGGTATAGCTGTGTTAAGTGTTTATAGCAATGGACAGAGTATCAGTTACAAATGATTTTAATATTAGTTTTACATTGGAGTAATGGTTTTAAATAATTTAAGAATCCCATATCAATATTATATTATCTTTTGCAAATATAAATTTAGTGTTGCATGCAATTTATTCAACTATAAAGATACTGAATTAACTTATAATTTAGTTTTACTGAATTTAAAATGCCGTTATGGTATCTTCATTAAAAGATGTAAATATATTAGAAAATATTCAAAAACGAATAACGAAATTAGATAAGCTATTATCATACTTTATTATATTCATCATACAATGGTTATGAAATTGATTTTTTCAAGGCAATGGAGAATCTTATATGTATAAAAGAAGATACATAGAGAAAAGATGATCTTATATATATAAATGGCTGTTGGTTTTATAAAAGTAAGGGAGTATAAGTATAAGAGTGTTTAAGTTTTCAATCAAGTTTCAAATTAACTTTCATTGTGTCTGAATAATCCGAAAACCACTCACAGATTTTTTTACTCCACAAGTAAAAAATTTTTAATCTAACTTTAGATATAAGAGAAAATTATGGATCAAAGTTGTACATTAGGCTATTAATTTAATCAGACATTAAATTTTTGCAAAAGATACTTATATCATAATGGAATCCAATAATCCTAAATCAAATATAAATTTCCAGTGTGAAATTGAGGTCAAACCCTCTCAAAGGTTGACCTTGATAAAATCAGCGTGTAGTTAAAATATCAAGCAAACTTAATATTGTGAAAAGGTCTAATTATAAAAAATTGTGCAGCAAAAGAAATGTTTTTGGACATAAAAAGTATATTTTAAATTAATCTTTTTATATAACACAGGTAGTCAGTAAACATCGAAAAGTAAGTAATCTAGCTATTTTAGTTTTGTAAATGTTAAAGAAAATAATTTTTGTTTCAACATAATCCAAGCAACAAAAGCAGACCTTGATAAAAATGGGGGCTATCTTTTAGATGAGTCTAAAAGGTGGCCCCTAGGACTGTCTTTTTCTGACAAAATGAACCATGGTTATTTACCCACTCTAGTGGGTTTAGAAATGATCTGAGGGTAATCTGCTTTAATTAATCTACTAATTTAAACTAATTGCCAATTTAATGTTTTTTTTTTTTTGTTGATTTATTGAAGACTGGGATTTTCTACACTAAGTATAACAAATGGTGCAAATTAAAAAAAATATATAATTGATTGCAAAAAAAAAATTAAAATATTATAAAATACTAATTGACTTTAATGTTGATTTTTTTGTTCTTTTTACTTATAATGGTGAAATATAACTGTAAATTATACTAGTGAATTATACTGTCCTTTTTAAAAGTTTTTATTGCATAAAATTTAGCCTATAAAATTGCATCATATAATAAGCTAAACTTTCTTTTGTATTCAATATTATGTTATTTAAAAAAATTTATAAACATTTTACTTCTCCATAAATAAATTTCATAAATACATCTTTGTTACTGAAAAAAAAATTGTAAGTTTTTTAAATAGTAAAATATCATTAAAAAATGTTAATAGTCAGTTTTAATAAAATAATTAAATTGAATTACACTTTGTAATCAAATTGAATTAAATTTTGAAATCAAATTGAATCAAGATTTTTATTAATTAAAACAATTGTTTTATTGAGTAGCTGATATTTGTGAAAACAATAAACATTAATATCTAATGATAATTAGTTTTAGCACTTATTAAAATTATTTTATTGAGCAGTCTAATTGTATTTTAGTAGTTATTAAATATTGATGTACTAGCAGTCAATTTAGCAGTCAAAAAAACTTTTCTTATGAATAATAAATGTAATAAATGGCCGTTGGATAGGTTTTTTAAACTAAATTAGACTGATTTAAATTTTTTTTTTTTTTTTCTATGACCTTATGAACCTTTGAGAATTTTAAAACAATTGGGAATACCGTGTTATACCTGGTGCCACCAGGCTGGCTTATACCCTGATATTCCAACATAATTTTGTAATAAATAAATTGTTATTACAGTTGGAACTTAACAGTACTTGGATAAGTTAAAAAAAATTTTCAAAACTATTGATGCTAAAACAAAGTGACATCTAAAAAAACGTACTATGTGATACTAGCAAATTTCTTTTTAAAGTGTTGTTTCACATGTTTTTTTTTAATTTAATGATTATTGGGGCATGCAAACATGTGCTTTCGGCAAGAGAATAATTTAAAAATACTAACCATTAAGGATGCACCGAATGTTCTGTCAGATTCAGTGCATCCCTACTAACCATATAAAAAGCATGAAGTCTTTCTAATATTTCAAATGTTTGTTTTTTAATGAAACTTGTTAATTTATTAACAAAAATTAAAAATTAAACATCTACAATGTTATTAATGTTTAATTAAAGAAGCTTGTGATTTCTGTCAAATTGAAACTAAATTTTGGCAAAAAATACCTTTGATAAAGTTAAAGAATCAGTTAGTTTTTTATGCATTAAGTTTAAGAGGTTTTGAAAAGAATTTTGTAGATATGTTTTAAGTTGAAAGTAAGATTTAGTCTCCCATAATAATTATTTAGCAAATTTCTATCAACATCTAAAGAACAAACCTAAACTAAAAACACATTTCAAGCCTCATCTGAGCATCATAAGCAGATCAAAGTCATCAGATGGTACTGAAGCTAATAAGGTTGAAAACTGTTAAGGTTGAAGCTGTTAAACTGATAAGGTTGCTTATGCAACTACAATAAAAGAGATAAGGACTACTATCATGCTGAAAGTTTCATGACCTATACAGATACCACGATTAAAATAAAATTGCAAAGCCTGCTTTATCACATTTCCAGGAGAGCTGGGATTTAACTTAGCATGCTAATTAAATTTTTTTTTATTGATATGGGTTTTAATGATGGGGTTTTTATGACAGCACTGAGCAAAGTAAATACATACAGGGATATGACTGTGACAAACTGACACATATGTCAATAAGATATTTACTTTGGTTCCAATTTGAATTAGTTATGATGCAGAAATCTTTTTTAACAATTCTTTTTTATCTTTGAACATTGTTTGGTAAATTAAGATGACCAGCTTCAACACATATTATACTGGTACTTTTAAATAGCTTTTAGAACAATATGGTAGGTATTATATGTTTGAATCAATTCATAAAATATTAATTTATTATGCAAAAGTCAAATCTGATAATTTTAATTAGACAATCTGGAGTTTCATACCAGAAAATCAAAACAAGAAAAAAACAAAAAAAAAAACAATAAGACAAGACACAACTTGTCAATATATATTGGTCTGTTTAAGCATAAGAAACCTTTTTTTTTATGGTTCATTTGGTTTTTTAATCAGAAGTTTTGACAAACTATTTTTGCAAGCTTTGAATGTCAACTCAGTTTAAAATTCTTCAACAGTTTAGTTGAAGAATTTGAAACCTACACTATACTTTAATCTGTTTAGCATATTGATGACTTTTCTACTACCTACCATTTTTACTACCTGTCTTTTTACAGTAAGATCTACTCATAAATGTTTAAACAAGTTTTTTTGCTTAATTATTTCAAGTTATTTTCTGCTTGGTTATATATTTCAAATATTTATCTTTAGCATATAATCTGTACACTTGGTATATAGTCTAGTATATAATAGTATTTACCTTTGGTTCTTTAAGAGTAGACTTTAAGGTCAATTGAAGGGTGCCTGACACAATTTTTGCCCCAGTAATTCTTGTTATCTTTGGATTATTTTGCCTTGACTATGATATAAAAATCTTTTTTGAAATTCTAATCTCTGATAGTTCTGCTACAGCATGGGCTTATAGTGGCTGGTGAACTTTAATTCAGATACAACTCAATTTTTTTTCAGCCAATCGTTATTGCAATATTTTAGATCTTCCTACATTTATGAATGGTAATGTATTTGATGAGTCATCTACTCTTCATTTTCTAGGATTATCTTTTACTTCCGATCTTTCTTGGAAACTATATATTAAATCCATTACAAAATTAGCATCTGCTAAGGTTGCATCTCTTTATCGAGCTCGACACTTTCTTACTCTGGATTCTATTCTCTATCTGTATAAATCTCAAATCCGTCCTTGTATGGAATACTGTTGCCATATCTGGGGAGGATCTTCCAATGATGCCCTTTCTCTTTTAGGCAAAGTGGACCTCCATCCAAGATATTCGCTCAGCTTAGTGTTGATAGATTTTCTAGTTTTCTTACTATTTAATAATGGCATTTTTCCATTTTGAATATATTATGAATCTGAAAAATAAAATGGCAGGAATAATAGAATTTAATATGATATTTAATTAAGTCTATAATAGCTATCATCATATTTATAAGGTGAATATTACACAAAATAGTATTTTAAAAAACAAAAAACTATAATAAAGCATAGGATTATTCAATATTATAAATAGTCATTTTTACATTTGTAAAAATGTCATAGTTACAATAGTCATAGTTTCATTTGTAACATAGATAGTCAACATTTAGGGAAAAAACACAATATCTTCAGAAAAGAAAAATGTTTTCCCAGTAGCAAATGCTGTTTTTTTACCAAAAAATTTATACCATTTAACTCAGGCTTTATAAATAGGAAAAATGACATACTGAATTAAAACTAGAACATGCATGAGTATTATATACCCTACTGCGTAATCAAAACCATGAAGAATGACAATTCTATCATAAGTTTTATCACTTTTTGTACAATTTTATTTTTTTGCAACTACAATTTTATTCTTTACATTAAATTTAAATTTGATACAAAGAAATTTTATAAAAAGTCAGATCTAGGTAAAGGATATATAACATTTTTGCCTTACCTTTATATAGAGTTAAATGTAAAATAAATTTATTTATTTAGATGTATTCTGATACAACATGTTTAAAATTAAATGATACTGCAGAATTCATTTGTATACTTTCTTCAAATCCTGAGCTTGTGATGTACGTTTTTTTAATTGTATATTATTGTTTTTAGTTCTTTTGTTAGTAACATGTAATCAATCTGTTGTTTTGTTAGTAACATGTAATCAAGTTAAAAATCTTAAGTTTGTGTCTGTTTTATAGTTTTGTTTTTTTATTTTCTAGTGTTATTTTTACCTTTAAATTTTTTTTTTTTTTTTTTTTTTTTTTTTTTTCAGAAATTCATCTGATGATTTTGAAAGTTTCACAAACGGACATGATCCTAGTGATCTTGAAGAATTTGCACATAATGTGTCCCCTTCAAAAGTTCCTAGGCTACATTGTTTATTTTTTAATAAGTTTAACTGTTTCAATCAAGACGTTATAATAAAAAAATGTTTATATGGTATTTATTTTTATAAAAAAAATTGTTATTATAAAAAAATGTTTATATGGTATTTATAAGTTTAACTGTTTTAATCAACACTATAAAATAAAATATTTATATAGTATTTGTTTTCAGATAATAATTTCAAATATTAAGCAGTTTTGGTTATGAGCTTTACTGTTGATTTAGAATCAGTTTTCAGAGAAATTATTTCAATAAGAGGTGATATCATAGCATTATTTACACAACTACTTGGTGGTGATAAGTTGATTGCGGAATATCTTCTTTTACATTTAATTTCCAAAGTGTGAGAAAATTTAATAATTTATATCTAATAATTTTTAATAATATCTTAGCATGAATATTTTTTTTAATATTAAAAAAATAATCATTTGAAACAAAGCTACACTACAAGCTACACTACAAGTAACCACTAATTAATTTTGAGTTAGCCAAAAAAAAGAGTTGAAAAGCAATAAAGTGGTTGACATATAACTTAAAAAATAGTGAGTTAGAAAAATGAAGATGGGAAAGAATTCCAAAAAGCATTGTTCAAGAAAAAAAAACTAGATAATATTGCCAGGTCAACATTTACAGTGTGCTTCTGACATTTTTCTTAAAGAGTGAGGGCCTCATTAGAAAAACCAATCCAAATATGACAACAATATTCCATGCAAGGATGAATGAAAGATATATAGAGGTAAAGAATTGAATCAGGAGGGTTGGTTGCTTTTTTTTAAATTATAAAAATGTGTTGACTTTTTTTCAAGAGTATATTGTTGTGTCATTATTAAATTTAGCCATTAGAGGTAAGATTATTAATATAGATAAGAAGCCACAAAGGACCAACAATGCTTATGTTATCCCAGACAACCCTATGTTATCCCAGATATATAGATAAAATTTCTTCCAGGAGAAAATAAAGAACCAGGTGGTAAAGACATCATAATGGTTCTTAACAAATCTTTTTTAGATATTTTTAAGAACAATCTAAGCTTAGGCACAAATCCATTTGCAAAATGAATTTATCCATAATCTAAAAACATAGTGAACTGTTTAATGTCATCCCAAATCGGATAATCATTATTCTCACCCTGTCTTAAAAATACAAATACAAACGTATAAAATATGAAAGTTAAGGTATTTACTGCATAGAGTTGATCAGACCTAGGACTTTCCCAGAAAGCTGGATTAGTATAATGTTGTGTTAAAAAAAAAGACTAGACTAGGGGTAATACATTTGATTCACAATCAAGAGGTTGAGATTCAAATCTACCCCTCACCCTCTGAAATTACTGTGTTCAATTTGTTTCTCCGCACAGTGCTCTTGTTTGAAAATGTTCATGTTTCTGAGTTAAGGGTTAAGAGAGAATATTTTTAAAAAATGAGTAGCTCCACTTAGCAGACACTGGAGCAATAGCGAGATGAGTTTATGAAAATCACCTCCCTATCGGTTGCAAATCTGAAACTTGGGTCAGTGATGCGTTTTTTTGTAGTCATGGTTTTGTGGGAGGAAGAGTGACATTTTGTACAACATAATACGAATTATCCATGGATAAAGAGACATAAAGATCTTATTCAAACCCATCATAAGGGTTTATGGGGTCAACATCCATAATTCTGGTGATGATATATTAGAAAATTGGAAACATAAGTACCATTTTCTAGCAGGCAGAAAAACAAAAATCAATTAAATATTAAATAGTAAGATACTGATAATGAGAGTTCTGGAAGTTTAAAATTAATTTAGCATCAGAAGCATGATTAATTTAAATGTCTAACAATGGATCAACTTGTTTCATTGGGATGGCAGGAAAATTGTATTCATTAAATTAAAGTGATGAGTTAAAGGAAAAAGTCTTTTCAAATAGTTCTGGTTTAGCTTTTGAAGAGGTAAATGATCCTCATGAACACTCAAGTATGAGTAGTGAAATTTTAGACTATTGATAATGACAATTTTAAAGATTTTGGAAAAGTTTCTAGAAACTAACCTAAGGTTCATTAAAAAGGTTGTAATGTAGCTTAACATCAGAAAGTACCTTTTTGCCTTGATTTCTTCCAACGGTATAGAGATATTTGTTATCTAGAATGTTGTTCTTTTGAAAAATATGAGGAAGAAAATAAAAAAAAAATAAAAAGAAAAGAAAGTAAAAGCAATGTAATAGAAGTATACGATAAATGTTTTAGTGAGATCATAGCATTATCTGAACTACCTTAAGGAGGACAAGGTGAAGCTGTGGACCCAGGTTGAGAGACAAGATACAAATCAATGAATGAATTTAAGTAATTAGGTTTGTCTAAAAAATTGATTACATGTTAGCTGAGTAAAAGATCATAAAAGATTTTTGAACAAATTTCAGGCTTTAGAGTCAGCAGGTCAGGGGTACATGATTCTAACCTGATTTCATAACAAATAGGTGAACTGATATGTATGTATATACTCAGGCCAACCATGTGATTATTGGAGTCTTTTCAAGTTAAAGGTTAATAGCCACCAATGCTAAGATCTGAAGATGAAACCTAATTTCAATTAGTCTGGCAAATTTTGAAAGAATTGAATTTAATAGATAAAAGTTTAATGATTTTCTTTTATGTATTTTGATGGTTTATTTTTTAGATTTTACTTTATTCATGTTTTAAATTAATAGGGAACTTTTATCCAATTGCAGGTAGTGTGTCATACCCTAAGCATTAAGCTATGTCGTTGTTAATCAACCCAAAGTTGTAACAAAGCACTCCTTATTTAAACAATGCACACCGAAAGTACTAACAAGGATAACTTTTATGCACAACATGGCACTTTTAATACCCTGATATCTTACAACTGTTGATGGAATTAGCCTCACCGCAGAGTTCAGGAAACCTTACTGCTCTCTAGCTTCAGAACTGTACATTCATAACAGAAAGATTTGTACAGCCACTACCACAGAGGAACAAGCAAAACCCATGAGTAGACTTAAAAAGATCAGCATTTTTATTATTTTTAGTTTAGTATAATAGCAGATTATGTGCTGATTATATAAACAAGTTTTGAAAATAGAAATTGGTGTCTCAGGTGCAGTAAGGATTTCTTGTCAAGCCGAGAATTGGTATTTTGTAGCTTTAAAAAAATATTTTGTAATTCTCTAAGTCTGCTATTTATTTCTTAATGGTAGTTATGGTATTAACTATTTATTATTTTTAATAGTAATTTTTGCTTTTTTTCATAGTTATGGTAGATGTGGAACTTTGTGTCTTGGCAAGTTTTCCATGAATATTATGAAATGTCCTGGTGAAAACTTCACTACGAGACTGTACTCATCAATTCAAAATATTGTAGAAAAGGTATTGATAATAAATTGCTTAATAGTTTAATATTGTTGCCCGCTTATAATTTATGTGAAAAAACCTATTGTCTGTTTGAATAGATTTTTGTGATATTATAAATGCATAATTTAAGTAATAATTATCAAGTTTTAATTGAACCAAGTTTTAATTGAAATGTGAAGGAGCAATTAAATAATAATAACAGCTGTTTCTCATGTCTCTAAACTGTCTTTTGCTAAAAGATGACTAGAGTGTGAGTTTTGGTTCCTCTCTTCCTGAGTTGCTAACTTTTACTCCTCCTACTAAATAGTCTTTACATTAATTTATGTTTTTTTACCTAAATGACATCATCTTCAATCTGTTTTTATTTTCACATCTCCCAGGTCTACATAACTGGACGGCTCCGTTGATCACTTTTTGCGATCATTGTGTCGCATAAACAAAAAATTTATTCTTTGTGGCTGGTGAGCCCCGACTTTTTCCAATATACACCACAACGACAAAACGGACATCAGGCTATTCCGCTGTCTCATTGTCTAACTGTCAAATGGTCAGGAAAATAATTGATAAATATTTAGAAATTAAATATTTAATATGGTTAACTTTAAATATTTAATTATTGTAATTTTATTTTATAATTTTTTTTTTTTTTTAACATTTTCTTTAACTTGAAAAATTTTAAAATATTAATTTTTTAAGATATTAATTCCTTTAGATCACTTTGAATTATGTTTATTTTTTTATTGTTTTTGTTTATGTTATATAGGTTTGTGTAAAGTGTACTTTATATATATACTTAATAAATACTTTGTACTTTATAAAAATACTTAATGTATATAAATATAATAATTTATTTTTTATTTTTTTGATTATAAAATGTATAATAAAATTTACTAAGTTCTATAAGCTCAGTGTAACAGTATGATATAAAAAAGTTGTTCTCGATGGGCAGCACTCTTCTTTATATCCTGTAATTTCAGGGGTTCCTCAGGGTTCTATCCTTGGCTATGTACTCTTTTTAATTTAAATTAACGATCTAGATATTCTTACATCTAAGGTGACATTGTTCGCTGATGATACTACCATTTATTCTTGTCTTGATAAAAAGCCAACACTTTCCGATTGCTTGGAGGGAACATTCGAGCTTGAAAAGGATCTCACTTCTGCTACAGCATGGGGCTTGCAGTGGCTGGTGAACTTCAATTCAAATAAAACTCAATTTTTTTCATCCCATTGTTATCGCAATAATTTGGATCTTTCTATATTTATGAACGGTAATGAGTCATCTATCCTTTATCTTCTAACCCTTACTTCCAATCTTTCTTGGAAATCATGTATCAAATCCATTGTAAAATTAGCATCTGCTAAGGTTCTTTATTGTGCTTGACACTTTCTTACTCTGAATTCTATTCTAAATCTTAAATCCGTTCTTGTTTGGAATACTGTTGCCATATCTGGGGAGGATCTTCCAACGATGCCCTTTCATTTTTAGGCAAGGTGTAAAAACGCATTGTAAACTTAGTTGGTTCTGCTCTTGCAGCCAACCTCCAACCATTATTACATCGTCGTAATGTTGCTTCTCTTTCTCTTTTCTACAAATACTATAATGGGCATTGCTCTAAAAAGCTAGCGTCTCTTGTCCCATCTACTAAAGTTCATTCTTGTGTTACTTGTCATTCAATTAAGTCTCATCCTTTTACTTGTGTTCCTAGTGCTTTAAAAATTCTTATTTGTCTAGTTTTTTCCTTCAAACATCATTTCTTTGGAATTTGCTTCCTTTATCTTGTTTTCCTAATTCATATGATTTGCAATCTTTTTAGTCACCTGTCAATCGTAATCTTGCTCTATAAACTTTATCCTTTCTCTTCCAGTAACTTCCAACTCTAATAGCGGTTGCTTGCAGCCTTGTTGGAAGTGGAGATGTTGAAAAAAAAAATAATAGGTTTTAGTAAAGTTACGATAAATTACAAAAAAGTGTGCCATGCTTTTGTTACAGTAAATATTGATATTTTATAGTTTTATGTAGCCCTACATGCAAAGAAGAGCATTGTTTTAAAAGGATGCTATTTCCATTTTTTTCAAATTGATTTTTTTTAACATTTTCATTCTTTATTGAGAAAGTTGAAAATCTAATTATGCTAGTATCAGTAAAACAATTGTTCATCATCTTTGCCTTAAAATTCGTTTTTTTCTTTTTCTCAAAATAATAAAAATATGATTTTGCTCACTCTTCAACTATAACTAGGTTCAGTCAAGTTTAGGCCTAGATTAAAAAATTCATTTCTACGCCCTAATTAAATTTTAGCCTGGAAAGAATATTAATTTTTATTAGAAAATTTTTTTTTGCTTGGTTAGGGTTTTTTATTTTAAAAAAATAGTTTTTAATCATTGTTTGTTTTATGTTGTTTTATATTTTTTTATGTTATTTTAATAATAGAAAAGAAAAAATCCACTTTTTTAAATTTGAAGCTTCTTATATTTTGTATTACAGAGTGCTTACTTCCCACTTACAATAGATAACTTAAACAATAAAAAGTTTGTACCAAAAAAAGACTATGAAGCTAATAGATTGGTTTATGGTGCCCTACAGTTAGCCTGCAGTAAGGTCATTAAAGATTTTTTTAAAGTTATGAATAAATTATTTCAATTTTGAAAACTTTTTTCTTTTTTTTTCAAAAGATACCCAAGTGGTCATTGATGAAACACAAATGCAACCTGGAAAATTAAATGCTGAAGGTTTTATTTTTGTGTGTGTGTGTCATTTGAAGATGAAAAGGAATTAATTTTCAATGAAATTTAATTTTGACCAATAGTTTGTTTTGTTATTATTTCTTAGAGCTATGTGTTTTTTATTTTTTTTTTTTATTATATTAAAATTTTAAAAATAAAAGATTTTAAGCTGTAGAGACTTAATATTGTTTGTAATTTTATATAGTAGCATGCAAAAGTTTAGAAACACCAACTTTTTTTTCCATTTTTAATTCATAATTTTTCACAAATTTTCTGAAATATACTGAAATTTTTATCAAATGTGTTTTATATTATTTTAATTCCAAAGTACAAAGCACAAAAATTGCAAAATTTTAGAAATAGCTGAATTTACCCGCAAATCATAATATTTCCTCCTTTATGTTTAACAGTAGAAAAATCATAATATTTCCTCCTTTATGTTTAACAGTAGAAAAATTTTATTTTAGACTGAGTCTGTCTAAGTTGATATTTTTCGCATTTTCTGGCTTTTAGAAATCTTTCTGTAAGTCATTTTTTTCCCCACAACTTTTATAATTAATTTTTTTATTTCATATGAAACTTCCTCAGCATTTGCCATAGTTTTAAAATATCAAATTTTGCAAAACCTTTAGCAAATATTTATATTGCTTTTGAAATATCTCAAAGTGAGATATTTTTGCATGAAAGCCAAGTAAAGCATAAATGGGAAATGGCATTTATCTGACAAAATATATTAGTTATTAGTGGTGATCTTTAAAACAACCAGTAATAATAGATGCAACTCCATATAAAAGTTTGTCACATAACCAATACAAAAATTACGTTTATACATTAGCATTTTTTTTTTTTTCCATTCTTCAGCCTTCTATTTTTCTATTTTATATTTTATTAAAAAACAATATAAATGTTCAGTTATAAAAAAATACTTTCATGAAAAGTTATAACATTAATAATTGACATTAAATACACTCTTAAAGACGTTAACTGGAAATAAGTATTTGTTATCAGTTTTTATATATATATATATATATATATATATATATATATATATATATATATATATATATATATATATATATATATATATATATATATATATATATTGTTTTCTTTTTTATTAGGGATTCGAAATTTGGCAGCAATAGGAAATGTAATTCAGTGGCAAAGACTTGATTATGATTTTGAATTTTCACAGGTTGAAATGGAAGCAAATTTGGTAAATTTTTTTGTTAAAAAATGTTTAAAATATTTTTTTATGTTCATCGTTGTTTTTTTAAATTAATTTTTTATCAATATCTTTTTGAGTGTTTATTTGAAATGTTTAAATATTTTAAATGTTTAAATATTTTAATATTTTAAGCAGTAGTGGCTTAGTGGTAGAGCGCTAGCCTCATAAGTAAGAAGTTCTGAGTTCGCTCCCCACCACATCCCTGGTAGTACCAAGCTCAACTTTTTTTCTCTGCATAGTGGCCTTGTTTGTCAAGGTTCATCGAAGAGTTATAGAGTTGAGAGAGGGTTGTAGTCGCAACTAAAGTAGTCTCTTTGATTGTAGTGACCTTTTCAGTTATAGGGAGATGAATTAACATTAAAAAAAATGTTTGTTTGTTTTTTTGTTATATATAATTATGTCTTTAATACTGGGTAAATTAATCATGAGTCATTGAAATAATGTAAATTGCATGTTTTCTGAAATATTTCAAAATTCTTTGTTTGCTTAATATAATTGCTAATATTTTTTTCTCAACTTTTTTTTATAGAACTTATAGAGTGGATTAAATTTTGATCATTATAATTAAATAATGTGACCAATCTTTCTACACTTATTATTTATTATTTTCAAAAAAATTTTAGTTGTATTCAAAAAATCTGTAAGAACAACTATTTATAAATCATAAATTAGTAAGCGCCTCGTGAAACATTTCTTATCATCATAATCAATTATGGTATCAAGAAATATATAAGAGCTTAGTAATAACAGAGTAATGCTCAAGTGGTACACAGAGTTGCCAAGGCATTCTGTTAAAAAAAGTTAAAGACATACAACAAGTTATTATGAGCATAACTCAAGTTATTATTATTAATGATAATGACAAAAACAACATATAGCACAATTACCCATTAAAATTGTCTGTGTAATGTTACCACTAAAGAAAATTATTTTTACCTCAATTATTTTGAATTCCAGTTTCTTCATAACTGTTGAATAATGTATAAATAAAAATAAAATGAAAATAAAACTGATTTCAATAGTACGCAAACTAATAAAACAATCACAATATCAACAACAAAACATGAAGAAAAAAAGTTTGATTTGTAAAAATAATGAAGTGACTAATATTAAAAGTAAAATGTTTAACAAATCTGATAATAGTAGATAATAATTTATAAAGAAAAAAAAAATTAATTTGTAATTAAAAAATTATATTATTTTGATACTAATTTGTATCAGTGAATGTTAAAAGGGTCCAACTATGTAAACTTTCAGGAAACTAAAAAACTGGATTGTCCCCATTGTAAATTTTTGTTAATGGTTTAATAATTTTTTTTTTTTTTTTTTTTTTTTTTTTTTGTTGAAAAGGATGTTTTTCGCCTTCAAAAAAAAAATTACTAAACCAAAATTTACTACGAAAATAAAGTTTTTTTTAGTTTCCCAAATGTTTACATTATTGGACTTCGGCTCTTTTAACATTCACCAAATTATAGTATGATTCTTTTCTGTTTCTTTGTCTTCTAATCTGTCTTAAATAAAAAATAATTAACAGAAATTAAGACTGTGTGGTCTTCTGTTGATTATATTTACAATTAAAACTTCTGCTGATTATATTTACAATTTAAAGTGGAGGCAAAACTACCTTTCAATTTTGGCAACAAAGAAAATGTGTTCACCAGGAAATTTTGAGCACCATAATTTTGACAGATCTGGTTCATTTCTCCTATACAATTATAATCTTGAATAGTATTACTTCTTGCTGTTGCTAATGCTACAATGCATGTCTTGTCAACAGGATTTTATACATTTTGTATGTTTAATTTCATCTTGCCTAATGAAAAAAGAAAAATTAAACAATTAAAGACACATTTATATGATATATACTATTTAATATAATATATATTATTTATAAAATATATACTATTCTCAAGTTGTAAAATACATATTTTTAAGAACGTACCTGTAAAGAGATAAAAAAAGAAATGAAATATTTATTTTAAATCAAATAGAACTAAAGCCATACAATTCTAATAACAAAAGAAGTAAATGTAATTTTGTTAATACAAGCAAAAACACAATGTTGAATCATGTTTCTAATCTATAAAACATTTTTATTAAACTATTTAAAAGAACAAAAAATTCAATGCAAAAAGTCCCTTTTTGTTGAAATTAAAAAAAAAAAAAAACAATTGCAATTACTTTAGAATATATATGATATATACACCTCTACAATTTAACTCATTAATTTAAACTGGTTTGCCATTAAGGTCAGAAATAAGTAAACAAAAATTAAACCAATTTTATTAAAATTTTAAAATAATACTTTTTAAAATAAAAAATTATATTTTAATTTGAGATTTATTTAAATCTATATCTTTTTATAAGTTTATATAGATAACTGTATATATAAATTTCAAATTAGTGTGACAAAAAATAAGTTATGAAAACTGATTATGAAATGAACTTAGATGTTTATCAAAAAAATAAAACAATATTTAATAACATAATTTTTTTTTTTTAATTAAACAGCCCTAGCCAAAAAGTCCCATGGAACCTATAGGATTTCGGAACATCAAAAAAATGATAACTCATTGATAACTATAAGCACTTTTAAACTTAAGTGTTTTAATTTAATGGGGTTTAAATCTGAAATTTTTTAATATTCTTATAGGATTCATGTTAAATACATAGGGTAGATTAGGGTAATATGCATAATTGTTTTTAAAACAACTTCATATTTCGCACCTTAAGCAAAAAATGAAATATTTTCAAAAATAATTATGCTGGATCTAAAATTTTTGCAAATAAACAATTTTTATGGATCACTACTTGTGATCAACTTAGATATTTGGTCACTCAAAATTTTTTCTTTAAAACACACTGCAGCTGTTTTTCAAAATGCCTTAATATGCTTATTACGTATTTCAAGAAAAACGCAATTAAAAAAAAATTATTAGGGGAAACTTTTTGTAAAATGCTTTTTGAAACTAATAATTTTTATGAAATTTTTTAATTACTCTTTGAAAATATGTATTCAATAACATTTGTAGACATCTAAACTAGCTTATTTTGTAAAAAAGTTAAAGTTGATTTTTTTTACCTTGAGGCATTTTAAAAAACAGCTGCAGCACAGAGGTTTTAAAAAAATAGCGAAAGTGCTCGTTTTACCCAGACCACTTGGTAATATGAGCACTTCAAATTAGTTTAAAAAAAAACATTAAGTAAAAAATATCAATCTGACAATTAGAACTAATTTGTGTAGATGATTCGCTATTAACAAAACTTTTCATAAAAGATCACATTTTAAGCCACTTTTTATTGAAACAATACTAATTTGTTCTATGCAAAAAAAAAGTAAATTTGTAATTTTTTCAATTTTATTAATTCAAACCTTTATTAATTCAAACAAAAAAATTACAAATTTTTTGAATTTAAATTAAAGAAAGATATTTAATATTGTTTAAATGTTAAAAAATTTTGTTATGTTTTGTTTTTATTTAAAAAGCAATTAAAACCACTGCATTTTTAGAACTTTAAACTAGATAATTTCAATGAAAAACACTGGGTAATTTGAGCATGCTTATTTTACAAAAAAATAGTATTTTTAAATTAAATCAAAAATAAATGTTTTGCAAATCCATTGTTTTTCAAACATAAATGAAACAGGTTTCTAGCTAACGTATTTTTCTTTATGAAAAATTAAATTTCATTATTTTAGCACCAAAATCACAATGCAAAAAATATAACAGCATTTTAATTAGATGAGAGCTGCTAATTACTGCATATAAATTTATGCTAATTACACTGATTCCTTTTATCACCACATAAAGTTGATTAAAAAAATAGCAACTTTTACTTTTACTGCTTACATATAAGAAATCTTTAAGTATGCTTCTATTACCGAGGTGCTCAAATTACCCTAATCTACCCTAAATAAAATAAAATTCCAATACAATCAAAACTGATTAGTAAACTTAATCAAATCATTACCAGTTTGACTGTCTAAAAATTTCTTTTTTATTAACCTTTCTAATAACAAAAAATAATGATAAAAGTTATTTCCAATTTCTCTAAAAAATGAAATAAAATTTACTTAGCTAGTTCCTTCGTTCCTGAGAATCAAAGTAAACAACCGAAAACAAACAATCATTTATTAAAACTACTAATTAAATAATTAAACAAATTAGTTTTAAAAAAGAAAAACATCAATTCTCCTTGAAAAGTTAATCAGATCTAATATTTTTACAGACCTTGCTTGAAAGACAAGTGAACGTTAAGGCTTTTAGAAAAACCTAAAAACTACTTAAAAATGGTGTAAGACAATGTTAAACGGTAAACGTGAAATAGTAACTGAAGTATTAATATTTAGATAACATATAATAATCTTTTATTTTGTTTGTTACAGTATAATTTTTTTTGAGCAACTTTTTATGTGCAAGTTTTATAACTTATTTACTTTTTTATCAACTGAGTTAATAAATTATTATTAACTATATTAATTAAAAAAAGTTTGTTGAAAAAAATTATCAAGTTTCAGTAAAAAACTTTAAACCAAAGTAATTTCAAAAATCATTTTTTTTTTTTTTTTTTTTTTTTTTTTTTTTTTTTTTTTTTTATAGCAAAAATTACATTACATTTAAAATACTTTTAGAAATAAATGTGAAATAAATTAATTAAATATATTAATAATATCAAATGATTGGTTGCATCTAAAAATAATAATGAACAAATATAATAATACAATAAATAATAAAGTAAAAATATTAATTTTATTTTAACTTCTAAATATAGGAAAATTAAAAATAGCAAGTAAAATTTTTTGATTCTGGAGATATCTGATGTTCTGGAGATATTTGATGTTCTAGAGAAATCTGATGTTCTAAAACTGGACTTCATTTATTATACTGTAAAAATGCTTGGTGCTCAATAAGCTTGATGATGATTGATATGCTTTGTGCTCATGAACTTTATCACAGAACACTACCATGGGAATATTATGAGCAAAGACCCTAGATTTTCTCTAACAAAATAATTATGATAAATGATAACGATTTTTTTATTGTATTGTTCATACAGATTTTAAAGATATTTTTATTGTGTTTGTTATTCTTTTATTTCATTTTAGAATATGTTAGTTTTATCAGAAGGAAAATCACTATTAACTGTGAGTCTATTTTTAATATAATTAAAAAAAAAAATTCAAGAAAGAGTTAGCCATTGTTTGGAAACGGTTTTTTCAGACTAAAAAATTCAGTTTGTTTTTTTAATTTTCTGTTGTTGCTATTTTTTTTTTTTTTTTTTTTTTTTTCTTGCATAAGTCAAAGTTCCAACTTAAAATTATTTAAAACTAGTAATTCTATTAAAACGTATACAAAAATAAAATTATTTACAAAGTTTTTATGATAACCAATACGAAAGAATAACGATTAAAAATCAAAAAGAGTGTTTAGTTAGGTAAATAAAATGAATGCATTTTTTGCACATTTACAACATCTAAAACAGAATTATGTGCAGTTAACATATGTAAAAGTAATAATCACATTAAACTACTAAATATGTACATTTATAAATCACTTCAAAGTTGTCTTATTTTTTCAAGGAAAATCAAAGTATGATTGTTAATACATTTTTTTTAAAGTTATACGTTCTTTTATTAAAACAAAGAATCATCAATTTTTATTGAAATACGAACTAACATTTAACTTGCATATATGTTTTCTTAAAGATGTTGTTTTTAACTCTGGTCTAAATAGCATTTGAATAAAGATATTTTTATTTTACGAGTGCTTAAATTCATTATTACTTTTTTATTTTAATTTTTAATATATTTTTTGCGATCATTAAAAAAACTTAATAAAGATTAAATTCTAATTTTAAACCTGGGTTTTTTTTGACAGAGCTTTGGTAAATACATTTATATTTTTATTTTTTTACTAAAGTAACAAATATACTTGTAAGTAATTCTGATAAATAATTCAAAATTGAGAAATCTATTCTTGTGATAAGTTTCTGATAAATAATGTTGTTGTTATTTTTTTAGTGTGATGTTCATATTCCATTAAAACCTGATGGTTCATATTCGGACTGTGTGCAAGAACTTTCAGATCAACAGTTAGAAAAGATTCGTTTATACCTAACTGCTGTCCAGTCTTTAGAATATCAGTTAACTGAAGAAGTACAAAAGGTATTGTGTAATATATTAGAGGTCATTGCAAAAATGATGCCATTCATAAAGATGGGTGGTTATATTCTTATCAAAAGTGATAATATAATGTATATAGCTGGCTTTTGGTAATATATTTTTCATTTTTTGTGTAATAAATTAACTTTTTTATAATATATGTGTTTGACATTGAAAAAATATTGCAGTTGTTGATTTTAAGTCCATAAAACACAATGCTATTTCTTCTGACTTGATTAATAATTAAGTAGCGCTTTTTACCATACCTTCTGACGAATGCTTAGAAAATAGTGTTTAGATTGTTCAGAGCTAGATTTTTTTCCAATCCTCGGAGACTCTTACAGTCATGGTATTGCATTTGGCATTTCTGGGCATTTAAGTATAATCAAATTATACTTTAATGTGAAACTTTACAAGAAAAATTACTTTTTAAAAAGTTTACTTACTAACAACATGATATTTCTTATTAGTTGGTTTTTTTATTTTTATTATTATTGGTTTTATATCAAATTAAGGTTTCCTTCATCCTAAGTACCTTCTTCAAGGCAATAAGTACCTTTACCAAGGCAATACATACCTTCATCTGCCCTATATTCTAGAATCTAATACACATGTATAAATTAGTATTCTTACTGTTATTTTAAATGCTTTACCTTCATCTGCCCTATATTCTAGAATCTAATACACATGTATAAATTAGTATTCTTACTGTTATTTTAAATGCTTTACCTTGTATTATAGTTAATTTTAAAAATTTTAGAGAAAGTTTGCGATCAAATTTCATTATTTTTAACAGTTATCAAATATTGGTTTATTGTCACAAGTGAAAAAAGCTAAATAAAATTATTTAATGATATTTTTTACATTAAATAATGATTTTATTAATTTTGTAAATAAGTATATAAATCAAATTTTTCTTTAATCAGTAGTTAAGATTTTTGTGTGTCAAAGATTAATTAATATCGTCAATTAGAATGACGTAATACTAATGTAAAATTTTTTTGTTGTTAAAATGTTAATTTTATTTAGGCCTTAGAAGATGATTTTGTCGAAATGAGGAAGCAAGATGCAAAATCTGTCAATGCTGATTCATTTTATTTGCTTTTAACAACTGCAAGGTAGCATTTTTTTGTTTAAGTTACTGATCATGTAAGTTAAGCTATTATAAGTTAAGGGTAAGTCATATCAAGTTCAGCAATTTTTTTAATTATTTCTTATGCATAATTTTAAATCCAAAAAATATTTCTGAATATACTTTTTTGTAAAGAATTTTATGCTCTATATACAAATTTACAAGTTTAATTGAAACATCTTACAAACTTTTACAAGTTTGCAAATTTAATTATAACATCTTTAACTCTTTCACTTCTGTAAGCCTCTGATAAAGGTTTTTGATTTTTTTTTTTTTTTTCTACATAATCGATAACAAACAAAAGCCATACTGCATAATTGTAGAAAGTTATCACTTTACAAAATTAAAAAGTCTCAAGAAATCCTTGCGAAATAAAATACTTCTTTAAATTTATTTGTAAAATAAAGCAGCGTTATCATTTTCATTGTAAAATTTAACTTATATATTTAGCTAAGTAAATAAAACATTCTTCTAGACCAAAAATATTCTTATTACACGTTTGTGACATTTCGTATCATATTATACGTTTGTAACATTTGGTATCATATTATACGTTTGTGACATTTGGTATCATATAAAATGTGTTATGATATCTGAATTAGATGATATTTTAATTCAGTGAAGTGGAAGTGTGGCAATTACTTTAAGTTTCTGTAATAATACAAACTTGAAAGTTATTGGTTCTTAGTGCTCCCTGTTTGTTGTAACTGTTATCAATCTTCATGGGCTTTAGCATTATTTTTTTATGTTTCAGATAAAACAATATTAGGCATTGAAAAACTCTAAACTTAAGTATGTTCATGTTAATGTAAAATTAAACATTTTGCACTGTAACCTAGGAACAAAAATACCCAAAAAGTTTTGAAATTTTATGTCCAATGCAATTACAAAAAAAATAGATATATAAGTTTGAGTAATAGAAATTAACAATTTCGCTAAACCTTAATTTAAAAATATACTGTAAATCAAGGACGTAGAGTTCCAAAAAAGTCTCTGGGTTTGAAAGTCGCAAAATGATTATTTTTTCCTGGTTTTTGGTATCCAAAAGCTTCTAAAATGTAAAGAAGCTTAGTGACTACTTTTAGAAAAAAATTAAGACTTAGGGTGGAGGAAAAATCAATTTCAAACAAATATACAGTATAAATTACGATGGCTGTTATAATTTAGGGATCGTCTATAAAGTATGTACGCTTGGAGGGGAAGAGGGGGTCTGCAAATGGCGTATATGAGATGAGAGGGCAGTGGGTCAATTATAAAAAAAAGTCACTAAATATAATATAATATAATAAAATATTAGATAAATAGGTTAAAAGCGTATGTACTTTTAGGGAGGTGGAATGTACTCTAAAAACGTACTGCAAAATGCGGGGAGGGGGGGGGAAGGCGACGAAAAAAAGCGTACGTACTTTATGGACAACCCCTTACGTCTAAGAAAAAAAAGTTTAGTTATGAAAATTTACCTTATTACACATAAGGTAAATTTTCAAAACATCCTTTTTTAAATTTCTTAGCAGTCTTGACACAATCCAAAAAAAAAAAATTTTTCAGAATAAATTGTTTAACTTCGTATACAAACATGTTGTCTATTACTAGGACAACATAATAATAGTCCTCATTTATTTTAGAAGATCTTTCAGAAAGATCCAAAAGTATATGAAAAAAGTGGTCTCAATGCACTCCTTTACTTTATATGTTGTAATCATGTTATTTTTTAGATACATGTCACTAAGCTATGGTCAGACAAAGCTTTCTTCTTCACTCTGGATTAAAAGCAAAGAATTAGACATGGGTCGAAGAAATCGTTAATAGCTTATCAATACTTTTAATAAAACGGTCAGAAGTAACCGCAAGTTTTTATTGGAATATTAAATAACTTAACATCTTAAAGATTGTAAACAAAACAAAACGTTAAAGCGTTTAATTGTAGTGGTTATGATGGAATGTTAAGTTTTAATTTCGTTGAAAAAACCATCGTCGTTATTAATTACTTGTTTTATTTTGAGCGAATAATTTTGAAACTGTTATGATTATCAGTGCACAAGATGGGGGATTTTCGTATGATTATTTTAACAAAGTTTAGTTTTTATTTTGTTTACTTCTAATTACTTGAACCAAATTGAAATGTAAGTAAATATGTATTCATAAATATTTATATCTTTTTAAAAAAAAATTAAACAAGTATATAAATATATTTTTTTCATTTCTCGCTTATGTTTCGTAAACGCTTCAAAGGTAAACAAAGTATTAATTTGTTATTGTTTTTTTAGGCGAAGAGTATTACTGGGAAATAATAAATATATAAATATAATATACGACATGAACAGTTTTAATTATTATTATTAATTTTTAGTTATAAAAGATAAAGATCTTGAATATTTACTAAAGTATTTTACAAATAATTTTTTTTTTCCCAAAGATTTAAAATAACTTTTTTTTTTCATCTTTTAAATGAAAAAAATAATGGTTTAAAAGTTTTTTTTTTGATTTTCAAAAAAGTTATTATTTTACTATTTTATATAAAAAAAAAAAAAAAAAAAAAAATTCTATTAAGTATGTTTTTATATATATATAAAAAAAAAACTTCTATTAAGTATGTTTTTTATTATGAAGCACTAATATAATAATATATTTAAATATACGTGGGTATATGTTTAAAAAAAACAAACCTAAATCCTTATTTGGTAATGTTGCAGATTAGTGGCCTAAAATAATTTTTTTTTTTTTTGCTTATTGCGCTCTCGTCAGTGGAGGCTTTTTAAACATTAAAAATATTAATTGAAATAATAAAAGAAAAAAGATTGCTGCCCTATGCCAAACCCTCAGTCGATGTAGCGGCACTTCCTTGTAGCAGCGATCTATAAGATAGTCGATGTATGTACTTAAGCCAATACATACTCCATATGTTTATATTAAAGTCTCCACTTTGAGCAAGTCAACAACACGAAAGTGCAACAAGCGAAAAAATAAAATTATTTTGCGCCAACATTACCCATAGGGTAGCAACCCTTATAAATGCATGCTATTTTTGATTGTTCTTTTCTTCACCATTGGCATTTTTAAACTTCTTTTTAATGTTTTTCATACCAGAAGGGCATAATGAAAAACTTTTGGCTTCAAGTTTCATATGAAGTTTTTAAACAAATTAAATAGGTCATAGGCCAATATGTTAAGAAAGCATCTAAAGCACGTAAAACTGATTTTATATAGCTAGGTAGTTTTAACACATGGATATTATAAGTAGTTGCTTTTTTCTTTACTTATTTACTCTGCAAAAGATAAAGCATTTTATAGATAATGTCAGTTTTACAAAATTTTGTTTCTAGTTTTTGATAGTACAAGGCTAAAAGTTAAAAAATTAATATAAAAACAGCATATTTCGGTGAGAATAAAAAAAGCAAGTTTTTCTTACCAAGTAATTTTGAGCTGCAATTAACCGCTTACAATTAATATAATGTCATTAGTTCAGAAATTCAAATTAGGCTTAATCAAGCCTTGTTAACTTTAGGAATGAAAGTGTTGTATAAATAAGAAAAATTACTTATACTATAAACCAACTTGCTAGCTACATAATCACTTTTATGTGACCACAAATAATGCGAGCTTAATCTGGCCTCTGACTAACTAATAACAACATTTAGCATATCTAGTCGGAATCTTGAAGTTAAGATGATATTAGCTTTCAAGCTAATATATGTTTGCAAAATGTTGATATATTTAGCATTTTGCAACATTTTAGCTTTAAAGCTATCTGTGTTATGTACGAATTATTTTAATTAAGTTTAATTTTTTCTTGTAATATTACCAAATTCGGTTGTTTTTTTACTTTAATACTAAGAATAAAAAATAGCACTTGCAATAAAATGTCATTGAAAGTTTTTAGTAATAATTTGATTTTTTTATTGCAATAGTTGTTGGCAATCAAAATAAGGAAGAAAAGGTTTTATAGTATTTGCAATGAAACTAGCTAGCCGTTATATGACTTTAACCTAGGTATTAACACGAGTTTTTTCTACCTTTTGTTTCATTAAAAAAAAACTAACAACTTGCAGTAGTTTGTTGTAAAAATTAACGATTTCGATAAAGTCTGTAGCAGAGTCCGTAGTATCAAATCCCCCCAACAGCGTATGAGTAGTACTTGGGTACAAAGGAAATTCGTCTCAATTAACTCATCAATTGCAAAGTTTCCTTCATAATTAGTAAAATAAATAAAACTATGTAAGAAAAAAGATAACCGTTAACAAGTTGCAGTAGTACTACTACAATAACAACGATATTGCGTTAAATCGATATCAATCGGTTTTGATATAATATCGTATTGACCCAGGTTGATACTTAGGTGAAATTTTTTTGTTTTGTTTGCAACGTTAAAGTACGTAACTTACAATTTATATATGAAGAACTGTTGTTGTTAAAGCTGGTAAAAAAAATCTTATTGTTTTGTATATAATATTATTTTGCATCGAAATTAAACAAAATATTTTAAAATAGGCAATAAAAAAATTTTGATGTTGTCAAACCAAGTAATAAAATTTAATTAAAAATAAAAATTCAAATCTTGAAAAACTTGAAAGACTATCAATAATGAAAATCCATTGATTTGGCGGGCAAACAAAAAGGTCACGCTTCCTTTTTTAAGATGAACTAGAAGACGACTTTACGGAATTCCAGCTACAAGTGTGCTAGCAGAATGTGTTTTTAACTTTTCAGAACATATAATTTGTACAGAGAATTCATTGATCAAACCAGAACATGCCAATCTGTTAACATTTTTAAATTGAAATCTTGATATATATAAAGTTGCCAAAATTTAGTCGGGCAGACCTAATAACAAGTAAATAATAATATAAAAATTGCGTTGTTTTATCCTTTGTGAAATATTATTGGTATTCTATGCCAGTTATCAAACTTTTTTTTACTTGTTTAAAACCTTAAAAAAGTTTTTAAGGTTTTAAACAAGAGTTACATGATATTCTATAATTTATTACTGTACGTCGAATTTAATAAAATTAATTTTTTATTAAACAGTTTCCAATTTAACACAACTCGAGATTTATTGAAATGTTGACCGTGACGTAAACTAATATTGACACTAATATTATTTACGAGCTTTAACTATTTCGTAAAATTACATTAAATAAAAAAATTCGCTTAATGTTTTAAAAATAATAAGTTGACCTAAATTTACTTAAGAAATTTACCTTAAACAAGAAATAAAACAAAAGTTGTAAATTAGTTCAGTATTCTTGTTTAAAACGTCTATAAACCTTTGTTTACTTTCCGCAACTTGTTTTAAATTGAGCAAAAACCTTTAAATATTATTTAAGTATTTTTACTATTTAAAAAACGTCTAACGCCTTTTTTAAATTTTTATATTTACTTAACGGAAGTTTAGTTCGCTTCATAATATTAATTAAAATTTTATTTGTTTACGTAGCGGACAACTTTACAACATGTTTTCCTGAGCACATTCACTGGCACTTGTTACGTAATCATTTTAAGTCTTCTCGTTAATAATCAATAATTATGCAGTTTATGCCGAGTTTTTTTTATAAATATTAGAAAACGCAGTAACCTTCACGTTGTTTTAATTTTTTGTCAGAGATTTGTGTATCAAGGTAAATTTTTATTAAAAGCGTTAAATCGATTATATTTTATAGTTTATAAAATAAAATCTTAATGAATATTTATTATAATATTCTAAAAAAAATAACTCTATGAAAAGATCGAATCTCAAAGAAGATACGAATGATAAATTTGATTCTTCTAAAATTCTTTTTTTGCTTATATTATTATTTAAAATGTAAAGTTTCAGTTTTTTTATTACATTTTTATTAAAGAAAAACCTGTGTACACTTTTGTATTAAGAAAAAAAAAATTATAATTATATAAAAATTCAAAAAAAAAATTATTCTACAGGGTATGTAAAATACAAAAAATTTATAACCATCCCAATCCTTAACACTTCAGCAACAGAAAGTTTTATAAATTATTATTCATAAAAATTAAAATCAATAGATATTCACAAATAGTGACAAAACTTATATGCAGTAACGGAATACCGCTAATATTCAGGCAAGCTATCTTTACGGCGCCCCAAAAAATACTCATGCTTGAAAATTTACCTTTATATTGAGAGGATACAAAATTGAAAAGATAATATTTATTTGCAATTAAATTGTTAAGTAATGTAACTTTATTATTTACTATAGAAAAAAAGTCTAAAACAATGCAATATCCAGATGACAGCCGACTTCGCGTCCGATCCCAACCTCAAGCTGGTCGTTTTACGCAAACTCGAAGTGGTTCGGTTGTTAATTTAAATGACCCTTCTTTAATGAGGGCACAACAGTATACAATCGATAGACAAACTATAATGCAACAACAGGCCCGAGGAAGCTTGACTACATCCGCTTGTAAGTAGATTTATTATATCCAAGGATTACATATATTATTGGGTACGCCATACGAACTACTTTTAATAGAAGATTTTATGTTTTTGGATTTACAAAATTTTTAAAAAAGAATTCTATTGTGTTTAAAAAGAACAAGCTAGATAAATTTGTATTATCAACGATTTCTATTGTGCTTTAAAAGAATAAATAAATTTGAATTATGTTAAAAAACTGACGTAAATGACTAGATTAAAAACTTTTAAATAACTTTAACAAAATATTCTTATGGAGGTTATCACGTTTGCACAAGAATAAATAAAAATATGATTGATGGAATGATAAACTCAGGTTTGTAAATCTAATATGAAATTTAAAACTTGGTGATGTAATAGCTTATCAAGGATTTTCAAATTTTATTCATGCAAAGTTCTTGACGATAAAACTCAAACATTTAAGTTTGCAAACAAACTAAATTAAGGATATAATTTGTAAACAATGTAACTTACAAACAATTTAAATGAAATAAATGTTATCTAAACATGTATAAACATTTCTAAACATTTTTAAAGGCTATTTAGCCTTTATTTAAACTTAATGTTTTAACTTAAGCTAAATCCATTTAACATCGTTTAATTAAAATCAAACGAAAGAAAGCTTTAGTGATTTTCTTGGTTATGCAAACTTTTAGTACCGTCGCGTTCGCGTCGTCCGTCGTCCATGGTGAACGGTAATGCAAGCAACGAAATACTAATGGAGATGGAAAGAATGAAAAGAGCCATTATGAGTCTGCAAGAGCAACTAGCATTTGCAGAAGATACCATAACTGCAATGAGATTAAAGGAAAGGGAGGCAAACGATAGGTATAACCTTTACACCATAGTTACTAAAATAATTTTATATAATTTAGATTAATAATATATAGTTTATAAAATTTACGACAGACATTTTTTTATCAAAAGTTTACCCGTACCAAATTTTCTTTATAGCTATAGGGAAAAACGGGGGAAAAAATAGCTTTTCACATAACAACTTAACATGAGTTAACTTTTAACGCTTAAAATTATTGGAAAGAAAACTGTATTTACATCTTATATTTTAAAACAACAATTGGTTTTTTTAAATATTGTTAACGTAATTTTATACGCATAAGTTTCTTTTTTGCGTTTAAAAAAATATACTGCTGTTTCGGTTATTGCCTATGAATAGTTTCCTTCTCTTGCCCCGGTCACGTGACCAGACTTTACATTAAATTAAATTAATTTTTATTACAAATTTTTTCTACTTGCAAACTAATGCATGCAAATGAATCATTATGATAAAACAAATATACTGACAAAGCATTATTTCTTTAAGACTGACAGTTTTGCATAAGTTTAGGATTTTTAAAATGTTCTTCATCTTGCCCCGTCTTTCCCTAGTTTAATGAAATACTGGCAGTTTTTCCAACACGGCGAAAGCATTTTATTATTATTTTTATATAGGTTTAGAATATAACCATAATTAAATGTGTACTTTTTTTAGGTTTATTTAGCATCAAACTTTAAGTTGTTCGATTCATTTAATTGGTTAATCATTCATTAATTGCATTGTAGGTTATAAAAAAATTATATTTACTATTTGACTATTGATCATGTCCGGTCAAATATCTTCTTGTTCAAAAAATGTAATCTTAAACAATATTATTCAATTATAAGCGCGTAAAAAAATATTTTTTTATTGAAAATTTTTATTCGATAAAAATCATTACTTAATTTTGTTTATATTTAAAGTTACCAAAGAGGCAGTCAACCTAAACCTTCCTGTTTAGGTATTAAAGAACGTTTTATATATATATATTTTTGAATTAATTTGATACTAACCTGGGGCCGTATTTTTAAGCGTTAAACTTAACGGAGCGTTAAAATTTTTCTCAAAAATTTCTTTTTAACTACATTAATAAAAAAAATTATGAAAAAAGTATAATTTTGTAAACATAATTTAAAAAAAAAATTAAATAAAGTTTTCGTCATTTTTTTACTTAGAAATATTGTAATGAAATTTTTGACAAAAGCAACTTTTTAAATTTTCTAACTTGATAATCTAGCTTTATAGTGAAATTAACAACAACTTCAGAAGTAATTAAGTAAAACCAAACCATTAGGCTATCATTAGTTAATTATGTTAATAATTAACGAAAAATCAAAAAAAAGTCCCGCTATTTTTTATAATAAAGATATGATATAAAATAATACTATTTATAATATTAACATTGTCTGTTCTTAATCCAACAACTTTTAAGTTTCTCTTAATACAATTTTAAGAGGCGCGCAACCAAGGTGTTATTAATATTTAATATTTAGCAAATTTATTAGATTTGGTGGCAGTCAAAGGACTGGGCAATAATTAAACTTAAACCTTTTTTTTTGCCATAAAATTATTATTTAATTAAGCACATATTACTAAAATAGCTAAAGTGCAAAATAGTTTAAGTTTTAAAGGTCTTTAAGAATCTTTGAATACACAGAGAGATTTTAAATGTACTTAACGTATTTATTTTACTCATCTCCTACCTTATCAAATAGTATATTTAGTACGTTGGTGTTCGAGTAACGTCGAGTTGTTGTTATTTGGGTGATAAATGTTAATCTTTGTTTTGGTTTGATTTTAAAAAAGTTTTGAAGAGAATAACCCATTTGAATTCAAACAAAGTTTATTATTAGTTTTTGCATTCTAATTACTAAAATTATCTAATATTATGGACAAACTGATGTTTTACGTCAAAGTAACATTTAAATAACTTCAATTTAAAGACGGATGCATATTTTTGCAGCCAAATATTCAATAAGTTTTTAGAATTCAAAGTCACAAGGTAAATGTCAGAATTAGGGTTTATTACAATTTATTTATATTTAATTATTATAGTCAATTAAACTATTCTCATGATTATCAAAGCAGTAAAGTTTAATATAAAATAAAAATATTTGATATTGTATTTATTTAACAAATAGTGTACTAAAAATTTTATAATGTTATTTTTATTGTTCTTTACTTTATTTCCGCTTTATTAGAAAAGCTCTAGATCTTCAGAAACAAATTGAATCAAATGGCCGATTTGAGAATTTATGTCAAGGTGCTACGCGACCTTCACAAATTGTAGAAAAATACGATATTCTTTATACCCAAGGTCGAATTGATGCAATTGACGATTTAGATAAGATAGCTGGACTTTCAAAATATGGTAAACATCAAGAAATGAAGCAAAAGGTCTTGTACGGTATCATGGTGGTAAATTGCATTTATGTTCAATGAATATTGTTTTTAATTTTACCTTATTTGTTTTTATTTTTAAATGGATTTATATGAAATAATTTTATAAATAAATAATCGTATACAAATATTCCTAAAACAAAAATAATTTTAAATAGGCTTCATACAAAGTTGCTTACGACTATCTCAATCAACTTAAACTAAATATTCGCCGGTTGCTTGGAATTCCTGAAAAGTATACAGGTAACGAGAAAGATTCATACGGCGAGGTTGTTAATTTTTTAAATACTTATTTTCAATCAACTACGCAGACTTTTAACGTGGAGCCGATTGTCGAGGTAAAATTAGATTTTAAAGCTTTTAATTAATTCAATCGTCATCAACTTATTTGACGTTCTATTTAAAGATGTGTTTAAACCAGATGTTCTTACAAGCAATATATTTATCATTTATTATCTAGGATGTCCAAGAGCAACTAGCGCAGCTTTTACCAGAATTTCCTAGTTTGTCAAAGCTGCCGGGTATTGCTTTGTATACAGCTGACTGTTGTCGTATTGCATGGTCAATGGTTAATCAATTTCCGCCAATGGAGTTAGAACACAGTCAAGAAAAATTCATTCCTGAAATGCACGCCCGTTTTCACTCTTCCTCGGAAAAAAATAATAAAATCAAAATGTACGTTTGGCCATGTTTGGTTGACTCTAGCAATAAAAGTATTTTGTATAAAGGCGTAGTATGGACATAACTACTTTAACACATTTAATTTCTTGAGTCAAGTTTCTTGCAATATTTTTTCAATAAAATATTTATGTAAATATATAACTACAGCTATGTTATAACTGTGGGCGTATACGTATACGTCCAGATGTATTTGTATTTGTAAATTGTTACACAAAAGCGACAATCCTAGGCGCGTTCAATGTTCATTTTGAGTTTTTCTATTTTATTTTAACTTTATATTTTATTTATTTATTTTGAGACCGAGATCTTCATTGGGGCAACGTTTTTTCAAAAAACTTAGGTGTCTGCATGCAAACGCATGTATATACTGAAAACGTTTCTGAGAAAAAAGTTAAAGGATTTCTTTAATTGATTTAAGTTTGAGAACCTGTTGATTTGAAATAGAGACTTGTAAATAACCTTAATACATTTAAATTAATATTATTTACTTAAATATATCGTTATATAAAAAAGTTTTTGCAAAACAAGAAATTGTTTTTTATAAATTTAAGTTAGTTCAAAGCGCGCAGTTAGTTGGTAACAACGTTATTGCCAATGCATGGCAATTTGAATTCAAATCAAGTGTAGGAATTAATATATCATGTTCGACTTGGAAAGTCAACATAATTGTTAATGTTTATTTTGGACGTTAATTAAAAATCGGCATACTTAAGGCGAAATTAGTTAAACTTTTTCGATAATGATATCTTTGACAATTTATTACTTAGGTTTTAAATGAAATAAAGCAAATGATATTGTTGTTTTTTAACAACTACTTCTGCTTATATTTTAAAAAATTTTCTTAAATTTTGTTTTGTTTTGTTAAGACAGTTTAAAAATTTTGTTAACAAATTATATTGTAGATCTACAATCAATGTTGGGTTTTGGTTTTGCATAACACATGAAGCAGTTATAAACAATAGTTATAAAACAATAGGTATAAAAATAATAATGTAAAGATAAGTTAAAAATAATATTAATATAGTAAAAAACATGAGTTAAAGAATCTTAGGTCAACTCTATTGAGTGACTATTAGAGTATAGAGACAGTCTAACAAAACTTTAGTCATTGGTACAAAGAATATTAATTACTCTACAATTTTATCAGCAATTACAAAATTTTGGTGAGCAAAATAAACCATACTTTATTAGAAAATAATTAGTTTTTAGACGTCAGTTTAGTTCAGCCGTAACTCATCAAAGTTATGCGACCATGAATAGATTTGAGCAAATTAATTCATGCAAATTAATTCATGCAAATTAATTCATGCGTTGCAGTTGTAAAATATTTAGTTTTTATATTACCCCAGAAAGGAAACATTAATATTATAAACTAATATTTTTTAATTAATAATTTTGTTTACGTCAAGCAATGTTATGAAACATCAACTTTTTTTCAAAGGTTTTTAAACGTAAAAAAAATTATTGGTTCATCAACACTGTGGTCCACCAAAGTTTAGTATTTTGGACTGGGTAATAATTATCCATGGAAAATGAACCGACGGATGGTTTGTCGTTTTTTGGCGTTAAATTTAATCCAACAATTGAATCAGTTTTATTTTTTAAAAGGGCGTATTTGTGCAAAACCTCTTGAGGAAATCCGCCTTTTTACAAAACACAGATTCAATTTCGTTTATAAAATATTACCCAAACGCTAAGATATAAAATTCAAGCCTACTCTTGAACATTCAAAGCCAAAACAAGAAAATTATGAAGACCGAACACAACCTATATTTAGTTTTTCATGTTCTAAAAAAATACCCAAACGACTTATTACAAGAAAAACAGACATTTTTCCACCATTTTCTTAACTCTATACAATGTCCGTTGAGGAAAAAGCTAATTAAGACGATCTATATACTTTTTTATTTTTCATGTTTTTAAAATAGCCCAAACGACTCATTCCGCACAATACAGCTCTTTTAACTGTTTTTTCAACCTAAAATTAGCAAATTAAAAAGGTAAAATTAGGCCTAGCACAACTTAAAATTTTTCAATGAGAATTCAAGATTATAAAGGTCAAGTAACTTTATTATTATTCAGGAATGCTAAAATATTTTCAATCTATAGTCTAATATTAAACTTTGGTAAGTTATGTAAAATGGCAATTAACAAATAGTATTAAACTTCATAAGAGAATAAGATCATATTTTAACCTCGTCTGACGTCATATTCATAAGCTAGTCTAATACTGAAAAGATAAACTAATAGGTAGGAGAAGAAAATACAGATTGAAATTTCGAAGATTGTAAAGAAAAAAAAAAGAGACTAAAAGCTTTTTTTAAAAACATTACTTAACAACATTCAAAGCTTTTGGCTTTGAATGTTGTACGAAATATAGTCAAAAAGTAGTTGTAATTGAGGGTTAACATTGAATTAAACAACAAAAAAGCGACTTTATAGGACAAATGGTCTTTTTACACTTGATAAAGTATATAGCTTATAAAAGATTTATTGTTGCGAGTCAAAATCTCATAAAACTAAGTGAACTTTGATTAATTAAATGTTACTTTTGTCAAGTAATGTTATTTACAAATAGTTGTAACGGCTATGTTATTAATTTTCAGTTCCGACTGTGTTCTTTGTAAAAAGCGGGAAAAAAAATTTTTTATTACGAGATTGCCTGAAACCAAAAAAATCATAGTCAATGTATGTACACTCACTGCGTCATGGCTAAATAAATTAGCCAGTATACAAACTTTTATCCAATGCTTTTATCCCTGTAAATGCAGTTTGTCTTCTTAAAACCTCAGTTTGCAGACTTGAATGACGCTAACGTCAAAATAGTAGTTCGAAAAAAAATTCTATCAGTAGAATAATACGGGGCATATATAAGATACTTAAAGATTTAAAGTTTGCTTTACAGACCTAAAAGTATATAATATAAAAAATAACTCTACGTAATTTTAATACTTAAAATTACTTTTTTTAAATTATGCGAATAAAATCATTTTTAATTATATGGAAAGAGAGTTTTAAAAACAGCAATAACTGGTCTCATATTTACTACCTTATGGCGGCAACACGAGAGAGTATACATTAAGCAATTAAAATAAGAAGCCAAAGACAAATTTTTAAATAAAACTGTTTGTAAAAGATCAAAGCTTAAGCTTAAAAAATTAATTTTCTTAGTTTACTTATAGTTTGAACCTAATTATTATTCATACAAAGTTGACATTCAATGTTTGTTCATTCAATGTTCAAATATACATATTTTACATATAATTTACATATAATTTTAATGCCTAACTTAAAAGAATAAACTTTATGATATCATAACTTATGCCTAATGTGTTGTACCCATTTTTTTCAAGCATTGGCTGTTGTTTTTTTTGTTGTTGTTGTTGTTTTTGTTTTCCATTTTTAACTTGTTGCCTTTCCTTTTTTAATTAGCTTTTTTATTTCGAACTCTACCTGTTTTCTTTTTCAAACACCTCAAATAGAGGTATTGTGGTTTGTTTTCTTACGGCTAATTGCCATATAGAGGCCACATACAAAGGTCCACAAAGACAAGCTTATATCTCTATAGAGCATCATAAACCGCTTCGACGGATCAAGAATAATTGAATTTAAGGAAGAACAAAAATAAATAAGAATTAATGTCAGGAATAGTCGAGTTAGAAAGACAGCATAAAAAAACCCGACAAACATTGACTTTACTAGAATGTGCACGTTTATTGCATTTAACTTTGAAACGTGTAATTAATAATAGTTTCAAATAGAGCATTCTTATAAAGTTAATCAGGCTAGTCGAAAATCTTAGATTACTTCTTGTGTAGTTTAAGATTTCAACTAGCCAGTAAAAATTTATATCGTATCATTAAATAAAAAAAAAGGTTCAATAATTTGATCTATGATGAAGAAGTTATATTCTCAACTAAAAAGCTAGCAATAAGTGTTTGAATGTTTGAGTTTTGGTTTGTCCTAATTATAGAATTAGTAACAAGTGGTTGTTCAGGAATAGAATGATTGATATCAGGTATCTTTTACACGGATTCTCAAATTAAACTAATTTAGGAAAAATATTTTTTTATTTTAGTACTGATGTCTATAAAAATTATTTTCTTCTTTGTCAATGTTTTTTCACATTTGCTTTTCATACCGATTTATAAGCATTTTTAAAAGATTTGAACAAATTGAATCAAGTGGTTAGAAATTATGTGATGTAGCCAATGGTACTGATAAAAAATCTAATCTACTATTGTTAGCGTAATTAAGAAAGGTTTAAGATCTATAATTTGGAGTAAATAAATACTTTTTTGTAGTGCAATAAGTCACATATATCATGTGAATTTCATCTATATCTTCTTTCTTCTATATTTGTATTTTCTATGATAGAAGACTAACTCCATTTGAAAAACACACAGCGCTAGTTCTTCAGTATCAAATAACTTTTTCCTTTTAAAACCAAACAACTTTATTTCGAATTTTCAAACAGACGTTGCTTTTTTTTTTTTTTTTTTTGAGTTCACACTTCTGCTAATGAATCGTTAAAAAGAGAATTTGCATTAGCAGCTTTAGAAAATGCCAGCACTTTATTATTGAAAGCTAACTTCAGTGCCAGATTAAGGAAGGAAGGGGCTATAGTCCTAGGCCCCCAATTTGGGGAGCCCCTAAAATTTTAGAGGACTTTTTTTTCTTTTTTTTTTATAGTCATTTTTAGGCTCTGGCCCATGAAAAGGCCAGAGCCTTAAAATTTTTTTTTAAGTTATCTGCAAAATATAGGTCTTTATAGTTCTTTTAAGACAAAGACTTGATAAATTAAGTCTTTACTAAAAAATACTCTCAAAATTTATAATGGCTGCACAACAAAATACTTGACTTTTTTATCAACATTCCAGAAAACAGTAGTCATTTAGTAAATAAAACGTAAGCTAAATTCTTTTTATTAACTAAAGATAATAAATGTCTTGAGAAAAAGTAAAACAAATGTGCTTCATTTGTATCTTTGCTGCATGTTTGCCCCTAACAACCCGTGTAATGTTTACTAAAATAAACAGTATATGCATTTAGGCATTAACTATTACATAGCGAATGAATATTCAAATTATCTTTCTATAAATAGAATTTACTTAAGTAAAAGACACACTTCACACAGTTATATCATACTAATTTCTAAGTATTCCATAAAGTACTAATATTTAAGTTTTGCAATAAATTCGTATTGGCCCTTTGGCTTATCCTTATTGACTGTCCGCTAAAAATTTCACCTTTTACATAATCATAGAAGGTATAGAAACTTTTTCTTCTCGTCAGTTTCAAGTTGAACCTAACTTTACTGCAACTTCTACTTGCTGTCGTTTCTTTTTATATTTGAACAGCTCTCTCGGGAACAAAAGTATTGCCTGACCACAAGATTTGCTTCCCATAAGATATTATGGTAACTACATTATTCTTGGAGAAGTATTATCTGCACTGCCACAAACCATCTTATTACTGTTGCATCTCATTACTAAACATATTATCAATTCAAAAATGCTTGCAGCGTTTCCCAAAGTTCCATTATAGCACCCTTATTCTTCTTATATACATTAATGATCTTCTAAATGCCTAAAAAAAACTCGATGCTAAAATATTTGTAAAAAAAAAGTACCAATATAACCGTTTGCTACAAATAAAATTATTGAAAGAACCAAAGCAACTAAATTTCTAGGTATATTTATTCATGAGAATATCTCATGAAAAGTGCACATTGACTTTTTAAATAATAAAATAAGATACAACATTTGTATACTTTACAAAGCTAGGGCAATGTTATCCTAAGAAAGTTTAAGATACCTTTTATTCTCTTTCATACAAACCTGTTATACGTATTTCAATATATCATGAGCAAGTACTCTTAGATCCAACCTAGTTGCATTTTATCAATATCAAAAACATCCCGCAAGAATAGTCTTTAATAAAGTTAAATTTACTCATGCTGAACCCTTGTTAAAACTTTATAAAGCACTAAACGTTTTTAAAATTAACACCTTTCAAAATTTGTCGTTCATCCTAAAATATAATACAACGTTCATGTTTCTCTATTTCATTTCATGGCTATTATCTTTACAACAAACTAATAACTTGCTTAGAAATTTTAAGATGCGATGATTTCGAGTCGCGCACCCAAATAAGCTTATTTGGAAAGAAGTAGTGTTGAAACTCTGCATTAAGTAAATTCAATAATTTTCCGTGTATTTTTCCGGTTTTTTAACAAAAGCAACTTTTTAATCCAGTTTTTAATCCAGGTGTTTCCACAAGTTCTCACGGTCTTATCACAGAGCACCGCAAAAGAGAATTTAACTAGGAAGTTCACGCCTCTTTCTTAACCTCTGCGCCTCTTTCTTAACCCCTGCACCTCTTTCTTAACCTCTTCGCCACAACTTAAGTGGTTAGAGTTACTTCAAATATTTTGCGTTTATGTGGTTAGAGCTCTTTCAAATGTTTTGCATTTATTCTTTGGTGATCAAATATTGCTAAATTACCTAACACTTCAGAATAACATTTATAATCAAACTCAAGCACTTATGAAAAAAATGGAGTGGAAATTTGTTTTACAGTTTTGATAATTTTTCACTTTTTTTTTGCAATAGACAGGGGTTAAAGTAGATTAGTAAATCAAGTGAAACGATGTTAAAAAATTCAAATTTTTTTTTCAAAGGGATGTGGAATAGCCCATTCGAGTGCAAAATCATTCCTTTAAATTTTTGCTGTAAGTATATTTTTGTTAGGAGCACTTTTGCTGTATTTTGAGAACTCGCGTGATGACTAATACTACTTATATTAGTCATAAATTTCAGCAAAAATTAAAATAGCTCTTTAACTTCAATAAAAATCAGCGCGCAAAGTGAAATTGATCTACTATTTTAAAAAGATAAATTAGACGTTGCGTAAAAATGATATATATATATATACATATATATATATATATATATATATATATATATATATATATATATATATATATATATATATATATATATATATATATATATATATATATATATATATATATATATATATATATATATACATAATCATATAAATATATAATATATATATATACATATATACATCCAACTCAATTTAAAAAATATATATAACATACATGTATGTAACAAAATATTAACAAAAAAACAACAAAAAACAAACAAACAAACAAACAACTTATATCGCCAACTTATGAAGGTAAAATTTGTTTTTTAAATCGTCATTACATGAGGAAAACCGAGCATCAGTGCCAGATTTAGAGATGTGGAGGCGTCGAGACAACAAAGGAGTTTCTTTTATGGGGCCTCTGTTTTGTGCTGTAGCCCCAGTTGTCCTCCCCTAAATACGGCTGTGCCGAGCACAATGTTATAAGTCAGTGGTAGGGTGTTAATTTTTTTTCTATTTTTTAGATTATTTTAACTTAAACTAAAATAAATAAAATAAAATGGAAAGAATAATCAATATTTTACATCGATTTTACAAGCTATCAATAAGTAAAATTTACTAAAAGTTTATTTATTGATAGCTTGATTGAAGTAAAAGCAAATAACATTGATATTTAAATATTGATAATCAAAAAAAAAATCAAACATCGGGTCTGTAAATTGTTTTATAAACGTGCTGTTTATTTAATGAAACTATTTTTTGTGGTTGCGTTGGACATCATAAAAATAATACTCAAAGGTCCGAAAGTTTAATACAAAAATCTTTATATTACTTGCCAACTCTGGGTGCTTTAGTTCTTTTTCCATCACATAATGTCGACGACATGTTCTAAAGAGTTGTTATAAAACATAAACATCATGGTGCAGTATTTCCAAAAACCAGAAAATGCTCTTAAAAGAGCTCAAGGTAAGTATTAGTCATTGAAATTTTTTTAGTGAAAACTTTTAAAAATTGCGAAATTTGTACCATAAATTGATTTAACAGAAACTTTTGATATCGCAATAAAATTATCAGTTTTTTTACTTTCCTTAAACTTAATAATAAGTTACTAATAAGATCAGTAAATAAGTTTGACATAAAAAGTAAAAATAAATTACATGTCTAATAAATTTGTTGACAAGCATTTATTTTTTTATATTAGTTATATAAATCTTGTATGTGGAAAGTAATAAATTTATAAAAAAAGTCTAATATAGTAAAAGTTTGTAATATTAATTAAAACTACAATTTTTACATTTAAATAAAAATAATTCTAAAATTTTCCAGAATTAAAGAACTCTTAGAAGAAAACTTCTAGAATATGCTAAGCAAATAAAATTCAATTAAAAGTCTTGAATTTTTATTATTCAAAAAGATTTTTCAAATAAAATAATCTATATTAATATTAATTGTTTGTAATGCTATTGTAAATAATGTTTTGAAAACTTTATACAACAACAAGATATTAAATTAAGGTATTGTTAAAGCTCCAGCAGCTCAAAAAACTTTTGTTTTCCCTAATTGTAATGAAATGAAATAATGTGGTGCTACTGCATTTTTAATGCTACTGCAGTTTCTCCCCCCCCCTCTTTTTTATTGCTGATTATGATAGAGAATTTTATGACGATTAAGAATCGTATAAAAACATAGGTCTGAAAATCAACAGAAAGTGCTTTAATTTGATGTTGAAGTTTAAAAAATTACTCTTAAAAACGCTAATATTCGCCATTTTTTAAATACTTTTTACATCAAAGTTTACATTTTGTAATCGATCGTTAAGAAAATCTTTTTTTTAATTAGGCGACCCGGTTTTTATTGTCATCAAAGTTAATTGAATTGAATGTTTTAATGAATGTATTTTATATAACTTTAATTATTTTTTTAAAAATAAATTCAAATATTGCTTTTTAAATGTACATAAATCAATTGAATAATATGGATTGGCGCAATTAAATGTACACTCATCGACTGAAAAATAGGGATTGGGCAATTGAATGTATATACATCGACTGACAAATAGGAATTGGCACAACTAAATCCACATACATTGACTGACAAATAGGGATTGGCGCGATTAAGCGTATATGATTTGGGACAGGGTTTGGGTTTGGGCAAGGGATAAATCAGAAATGATGCGCTGAGCATTTTTTAACAGTTTTGCATTAAATTGTTAATAGAAACCAGGCTATTTTAAAATCATATTTGAAAAGAATTTTAATATAACCGAGAATAAAAAAATGGTGAATATTAAAGCTTTTTCACTCATCACTCATACAAAAATTAAGATAAGTTTGAAAAAAAAAATTGGTAACAATTCACCTATAAAAATAAGGGAAAATATATTCCGGATATTTAACTCAAACCATTTTCCGGATTTTTAAAATATGACCTGGATGATCTATGCATATTGCAGGCTTTTCACTAAGATATAATATTTCACCTGTCGCAACATCAGCTGTTGTTACTTGACAAAGAACCTTTTAAAGGTTTGTTTATTAATAAAAGAAGTTATTAATAAAAGGTAAAGGATGACCCTATTGGTAAGGCTCTAAAGTTAATGGCATAAAAACTAGAAACGTTTCAACTTAAAGAACAGCTCAAAATTTTGATTAAAGTTCCCAAAAAAAAATTCTTTAAATAATATTGACAGATGCAACTCTCTGTTATCAGTTTATAAAATGTTTGTCCATAAGCAAAAAATATTTTTCTAAAGCAAGGTGTGGAAATATTTGCCACAGCAGATAGGTTATTACAGCAAAAGCTATAATTTTCCTCTATGAATAATTCAATGTTCACTGACAATGTTCTTTGAAAGTTTCTTTCAATTGTTAAATAGCTAGCTCAAGTATATTTTCACATGTGGTATGAATTCAAAGTGAAACACAGTATTGTAGACAGCCCAGGCAGGGTGGCCAGCGGTCCTTGAAATCCTTGAAATCCTGGAAAAGTCCTGGAATTTTATAGATCCTGGAAAAGTCCTGGAAAAACACCCCTTTTTACAAAAAATCCTGGAAATCTTTGTTTAATTATGTATTTTCTGGTATGATGAAAATATTTTTATTAATTTTACTATCTGTATTATTAATTCTACTAAATATTTAGAAAATAGAATATACAAATAATATATATAACAATTAATATATAATATAACTAACATAACGCCCAAGTCAAAGAACTGTCGTTTCCCAACAGAATGGCTTTACAATAAAAAGTATTCTTCTTGGGTAAAATTATGTTTTTCAAAGAAAGCAAGATGTAATTGGTGTCAAAAAATATATATATTATATGGTAAGCATATATATATATATATATATATATATATATATATATATATATATATATATATATATATATATATATATATATATCAGGCTTGGTCGGGAAGCGGGAGCGATCGAATACTGACCACGGAAATTATATTTAGTTGCGAAAAACTAGCCAGGTTTTTTAGTCGTTTTGAGAACCTTTA